CCATAGGTTTTCATAACTGGAGAATAATTTTCAGCTAAAGTTATTTCTGTAGTTTTAATAGTGTTGACACCAATTGAGTTCGTATTTAACATATTATCCGGATTTATGCTTTCGTTGTCTCTATCAGTGCTATTATATTCACTCCCAATAGTATTCAATTCATTGTTTGACAAAATATCATCGATTGGCTCCAGATTTATAACCTGTTGTTCAGTAAACTTAACAATCATTTGATTGACATCACTGTCCATATTATCAGTATTGGAATCGTTTACTAGTTGTTTGAAAGTCTCGTTTTTCGCGCTTTGGATGCGATCTTCAGTAAACTTAAGAACAGTTTTCTTCGTTGGAAGCGTTAGTGTCTTCTGAAGAAAACAATAAGCCGTCGGACTCTTGTGGTAGAGATCGGCGCAAAACTTCTTCATTTTATTGCTCCACTTCTGGACGCGAGTCTTATTTAGAAAAGCAGTCGTTAAATGATATTCAATAATCTCAGACATCACTGAATTCAATGCTTCCTCACTAAGAGTTTTAATGCATTTTATAATATAATTTAATTTGCATTTTTTGGTGTTTCCAATCGCTTCCGTCCTCTTAAGGCTTTAATTAAATAAATAGATTAATAAAAGCTCAAAGAGTAAACACAAATTCGCTCAATACTAACCGATAGCGCAAATTCATGACTTGTTTTTTGCTTTTCTTAAGTTTGTCCCTAAGATTCCTGATCTCATTCTCGTATCGCAAGTGTTTATCAGAATATTGTTTTATAATTGGATTGGATTTTGTTTTTTGTTTCGTTTCATCCGTTAAACTGTCGTTTTGTGCGTAATTTTGGTTCGCATTCTGATTACTCGATCGCCAACTTCTCGACAAATTTGTCCGCAAAAGAAGTTGCGCTGGAATTACCTGTACTGGCGGTTGACCTAAGAATTTATAATATTTAATATATTAATACATTATTACATAGTATTATATAAAGCATATGTGAGTATACTTTGTGTTTGATCTGAAGAATTGGTGTCTTTCTTAAGATTGCATTTAATAGTCGGCAATGCATTACACATAAGACGGATCTTTTTCACCGGATTATTATAGGTATTGTCGTCGAAATGTTGGGAACAAATGGACTTATGTTCAAGTTTTGGATCATTTTTCTCATACAATTTCATTAACGTTTCGTTTTCGCAAAATTCAACCCATTTTTTAAGTCTAAATATTTATAATTATAAGTTTTAATCAAGTTTTTATAGTTATAAAAATGTGTATATTTTGTCTCATTTATTGATTCAATTTAAAACCGAAAAACTAGTTAAATGTGAACAAAATTTTGTTGATTTCTAATTCAAATCTAAATATTGTTTAAAAATATATCAAAAACTGTGTATTAAGTAAACGTGGTAATAATATCATGCAAAATGACCATTCTCATCTTATAAGTTTATCATTAAGCTAAAGTGTTGTGTCCGAGTGTCAAATTAAAGTGTCATTCATAAAGTACTACAAACAATGGTTTCGCAACCAATAGTCAATGCATTAAATTGTATGTGAAATGCGAGCAAATGGGGGACACATGGCGTGTCTCAACCCATGGCGTTATGTTTGGCAACAAAGCAATACATGAGTGAAAGTGTTGGCAAAGATGTGTTTGTGAGGGACTGTCAATACCTTTGGGGCTCTTTTGTGGGAAAGTTATGGAAAGAAAGTCTCGGGTTTTCGTGTTTCGTGTTATGACACGACTCCACACAACACACGTTGCGAGACATCGACACCACTTCCACTCCAACCGTACCTTTCAATCAACACTTCTTAAGCCATGTTTTCACTCGACTTTCGCACC